GTTGTTTCCTCTGCCGGCCGGCACAGACGCACTGTGACACCCAGTGAATGGTAATACTGTGTGAAATCGACAGAATAACAGTGTTACTGAGAAGAGGCAGGGCTGTCCTTGGCGCAGCAGAGCCACTTCAGTTCATCAAACAAACTTCTGCACACACACACACACACACAGTCAGAGAGAAACACACACTTAAACACCATTCACTATACTGTATATTGTAGCTTAAACATTTTAGGTGCTCTGATTCTCCAGTGGGCCTCTATAAATGGATTTTCTCTGCTTTTTTTAAATCCTGCTACATAGCACCAATACTGACCTTCAAACTGAGATATCTATCTTCAGTATTTATCTTTCTACATTTGTATTTTGTAGGGGCTGGCAGCTGGGGCAGCACATTTATAGACCGAGCAACACTCCCTGCGGTAGGAGAGGTAAGGATTTCTAAATGCCGATAAACACGTAAAGTCTTGACTTAACTAATTTAACGTTTGGCAACTTGGTCCGATTGTGTGGAATTATTGACTGCACTGTTTGTTTGCGATTACACAACCTCACATAATGGGAATCTTGGCCCGATTTCCGAAAGCAGGATGAGGATTAGAGCGGTGAAAGCCGCTGCAGTACTGAGACTATTGAGAGGGACTGTGTGTCCAAGTGGATCCAGGGATGAAAAAAGGAGAGAGAGAGAGAGAGAGAGAGAGAGAGAGAGTGGGGAAGCCTAAGGGAGGGAGAGGGTGAGTGAGGGGAGCTGATTCCCCTGATTTGAACTTGAGCGTACACACACAAAGTCAAACAAGGCCACTGTCCGCTCTATGCTCAGGCAGTCAATCACTTTGCCTTTGCTTCAGAGGGTCTAATGAAGCTTCACCTACACATGGATGCACATGCTTCCCACATTTGTACTTTTGTACTTGTGAGTGTCCTCGCTGACATAATACATTCATAAGACTAGCGCCTAATCTTAACCTTAAAGGGTGCTCCAGTTTACTATAACACTTACAAGAGATGGTTTAAAATAACATGGACAAAATCAAAAATGCAGAAGCAGAGATATCCTGACTTTTATGTATCGGGTTACATCAAAAACACTGTGAAAACACTGTGACTATAAATTAGCTATAAAATAATTTAAACGCCATGTGCCCAGTTTATAAAACAGACTTTCTTTTAAAAATGCCTTGTTTCAAAGTATGTGACGTCACTTGAGTAATTACATTTTCTCAGATATGCTCATCCAGAGCCATAAGACAACTGTTTTCGCAGACTGAATAGTACTCTTTGTCACAAGTAAACTGACTTTGACATGTTATTTTGGTGCTGAGCCCCTTTAACTATCACAACAACATAGTATACTTAACCTCAACCCTAAGCATATCCTAACCAAGTCTTAACCCTCAAAAAGCCCTTTGAAGAAGTGAGCACCGAGCAAAGTGTCCTCACTGTCATTTTCTCTTACACAGACAGAAGAGCACACTTCTGCAGTAATGCTACCCTTCGATGTAATCTGTATGAGTATTATACATTATGATTTCTTACTCATAAAACAATTGTCTTGGACAGACTAATCAGTTCCCAGGCTCCTCCAGTCTGAGCAAGATACTACATGTCAAATTGCTTCTGAAGGCTGTGCCATGAACACGTGTGACTGTAAGTTAGTTCCTTTCTGATGTACAGTTGCCACCTTGGCCTCTGTGTATCATCAGTGTGTGAATGGGGTGAATGTGACATGCAGTGTAAAGCGCTTTGAGTGGTCATAAGACTAGAAAGGTGCTATCCAAGTTCAGTCCATTTACCACTTACTAGAGGTGAGGCTCTATGCAAGTAATGTCAGACGGTCCACCACCTTCGTGCAGACTAACTTATCTCCACCACCATTGGATGGATTGTTGTGACGTTTCATACAGACACTCATGGTTTCCAGATGATGAAGCCTAATTTCCCTCTGGCACCACCAGCAGGTTCACATTTGTGTCTCACAAATGTCTCAACAACCATTGGATTAATTAACATTAAATTTGGTGATGTTACAGACATTCATGTTCATTTTTGGATGACTTTTAATAACTTTGGTAATCCCCTCATTTCTCATCTACCGCCGTAGACAGGTCAGCATTTCAATTAGAGCTAAGTTAGACACTATAATAACTTACATTGGACTGCCTTCAGACAACTCAGTAAGAGATGCACATCCATTGTGAGGAAAGCCAAATCTGAATATTCCATCCATCTTCATCCGCTTATCTGGGGCAGGTCGCGGGCAAAACTGAATATTTTCTGGATTTAGTCTCCAGCTCTTATTCAAATTAGGTGAACATGGTTAACACTAAGCTTCAGCAGGTTAGCATAATTATTGTGAGCATGTTAGCATGCTGATGTGAGCATTTAGTTCAAAGCACCAGTGTGCAATAAGTACAGCCTCACAGATCCACTAGCATGGTTTGTTCAAGAATCTTTGAGAAGTGATTCCTGGAAAAAAAAATATTCCTCAAGTAGAGTAACAGATCATAAGAAGATTACACTTACCATGCAGTGATTTTTGTTTGTTTGTTTGTTTATGAAAATGTTTTTTCATAGGAGTCAGAAATAACTTTTCTGCAGTAAATTACTTTTCTTGCAGTAAACCCCATGCACCAGGGGGCTGCCAGCATTCCTGGTAAAGTACCAAAAGAGATAACCTTTTGAAAACAGTAGGTAAGAACTGAAGTCAAAATGTTTCATTTAATCTAATTTGTTGGCAGCTCTTTCAGATGAACCTCGGGACAACAGTACAGTTTTCATTTCACAAGATTCCTCCCCACTCTCCTCTCTGAGTCTCTGCACACCACTGCATTTCACAGCCATGCATGTTCAAACTGATCTGTTGTTCCATGGTCCAGAGAGGATCTGCATAAATTAAAGAATGAGAAGTTAACGGTTGCCTTGTTTTGGAGAAACTGTTGAGAGTGACACAGAGACAGAGACGTCCAGTGTGAAGCATTTCCATGTTTAGGGAGGAAGTATCACTGTCCAGCAGATCGCTCATGGAACAATGTTCCTTTTTTCTGTGCAACCTCACCCCAACTGAACTTCCAGGACCGAGCAATCCTCACATGCTCTGTGTTTGTGTGTATTACATAACAGCTCTCTTTCCATTCACGCTGTTAAGCGCATTCAAGTGACTCACTCTCTCTGTACGGCTGTTTTTACATTCTTCATTTACAATACAAGGTTATATAACTTAAGATAAACTCACAGGTGCAGGAACACAGTGAGTAGCGTTGTTTGTCATCACTGTGAGGCAAACAGTCTCTGAAAAAGGAGAAAATATACTGAGTGGGTGACATTACACATCCTCACGTTTGTTCTTTGACAGTGGCAACTGGTGTGTCTGATAATCTCATGTTGTGATGGAAATCAATAGTGATATGTTCTATTTGTGCAAGTGTGTAGAGAAACAAAGAACACACAACACATTTTTCCATGTAAACTGTGTCACCTTGAACTCCAAATTATGGTCCTCTGCAAAGAGCAAATGAGGTCAACTCAAGCCATCATGACTGAACATTGAAGAGCACAGGCTTTAGTGAACTGGATGACTTTAACATGTGATTTAAAAACTTAAAGGAGAGAATGGAAAATGGATGAGCAATGGACCTTACAGTGTAAAAAAAAAATCTGCTCAAAATACAACTTCAGTAAATAAAAACAACAAAAACTAGAAATTACAAATTCTACAATTGCAACCAAACACCTGCATATGATAAATAGTGGAAAAACCCACATGGTTCTTTCTTTATGAATGATTTTGTCTGAGAAATCAGTAACTCAGTAACTGAGTCAAACATGTTTAATTTACTAAGATCACTTTGACCAGTTCTGGTTTCAGGCCTGTGTGTGTGTGTGTGTGTGTGTGTGTGTGTGTGTGTGTTTAACAACGTTTCCAGCCAGGTATGGGTACAACTGTAAAAGTAAAGTCCTTGCTGAAGCACACACAGGCATATAAGATGTCCTCTAAGCTAGCGCCATAGCTCTCAGGACGGCAGTGTTGGTCTGCCTGTCAACCAGTTTGGTACAGGCTGAAATAATAATGAAATCAATAATCATTACAAGTTCCCACCCTCCTCTTTGTGTATTGTACACCTGTACTTTGTGTTTAGTGCTTATTAGCAAATGTTGGGATGCTTATACACTACATGGTAAACATTACACCTAGGCCTACTCAGTGGTGGACGATGTAGAACATTTAAATTTAGTAAAAGTACAAGAGTATTAGGATCAAAATAGCTCGTTTCCGAATAATTTATATTACATTATTGGATTATAATTATTGATGTGTTAATCTGTACATCTCTTTAATGTTGCACCTGGTAAAAGGGGGCTCATTTAAACATTTAAAGATTCACTAGGGTAGCAAATAATTATACATTTATTTTTTGATCCTGTTTGGTAGTATTAACCTGTAACTTAGACAGTGACCATCAGAAGTGGTTCTAAATGAAGAGGCTCTCTGAAAGGAACTGAGTTATAAGATCAGGCTCCCTTTAGAGAGCCATAATTCCCATCACTAATGTAAATCTCAGTAGAGGTTGTCTAAGTTGAAGTTCCAGGGGCTACTTAGGTCAGTAGTGATCATTGGCTGATTATCTCAGACTGACACATCACGTGTCCTTTTTAACAGATAAAAGTGCTGCTGTGGCAGAACAGTACCTTTTCCTTCTGTCAGTCAGGCACACATTTTGCAGTGAAGTGTTTTTAATCTTAAATAATCACTTAATATTTTTCACAGTTAATCTTTCAGTCTCAACCTCGTTTTCGTTTCGACATCCTTCGACTGCCAATTACATGCCTGTATTAAAGTCACAAAATATCATTTGAATCCGTTAGGACCGATTTGGAAAGCAGCTTGTTTTTTGTTTTGTTGTGGGATTTTTTTGCTATTTAGCCTGAACTGTGTGTCTCCGCTGGTTTGATTCAGCTGGCTCTCCGTTGAGAGGAGGAGGAGGGGGAGGAGGAGGGGGAGGAGGAGGGGGGCCGGTCACACAGGGTGAGGATCCGACCCCGGCTGAACCGATGATCGGGAAGAAACGAGAGATGCGGAGCATTTGAGGAGCAGAAACCTCCAGACGGGCCGTGAAGCTCCGCATGCGTCCTCTCTCTGAGATTTTCATCAAGAGGTTCAACACATGTTTGATTTGGAAGTAAGATGTCTTTTATTTTTTTCAAAATGTATCAATGATTGAATTGTTTTTTTTTAATCATGCGAGCTGATGTATCTATTTAATTTGTTTCTAAGAAGAATTATTGTAATTTATGATCCCTTATCGAATGAAATAGCATGTGAATTTCATATGAGACTACATTTGTGTAAACATTGAACTATTTAGGACTCATCATTTCCTTAGATTTAGGGTTTAATGAAACAGCTTTGGCAGTGATAGCACTAATTGTAAATGTCTGGTTGTGGTCACTAGTTGTTGTATCAGACCCGTGTTATTATGAGTCTTTATAAATAGTTTTATCCCACTGTAATTCTTGTAAGTATTTATTTAAAATTTTTTAACAGAATTTATCGTTTTCTTCTGTCAGTTAGTATTTTCTTGCGGTAAAATACATCACACCATTCTACTGGCAGAAGTTAATGTCAATTTAATGTTTTGCAACCTTGTAAACAAATCGTCACATCATCACATGTGTTTGTGTTTTTTCACCACTAGGGGGTGCCATTACAGCTCACTTCAGCCCAAACCACAGTCTCTCATCCTCACACAGCTCCCTGAAGTCTCAAATCAGGAGTGAACATGACGGGTCAGACCGTGGGAGGTGTCATCCAGGATCGGTCAGTGCCCTCACTGGTGGCTGTGGAGGGACTGGAGTCCAGGCCTCTGGGAGGGGCCGGGTCCTTCACTGATGAGACTGTTTCCATTCTGACCTCCACAAGCCAGCTGGCCCGAACCCTCCTGGGCCACACCTTTGGCCTCAAACGCAAAGAGAACCTTGACAACTGTGAAGCTAGGGCTGGTAGCAGCTGCGATGAAGACAATAGCAACAATGCACGTCGCAAACGTGAATTCATCCAAGACGAGAAGAAGGATGAAGGCTATTGGGACAAGAGGAGAAAAAACAACGAGGCAGCCAAGCGGTCCAGAGAGAAGCGACGTGTCAATGATATGGTCCTGGAGAGGCGAGTCCTGGGCCTGCTGGAGGAGAACGCCCGCCTGAGGGCCGAGCTATTGGCCCTGAAGTTTCGTTTTGGCCTAGTCAAGGATCCATCTGACGTGTCCATCCTGCCACTGTCTGCGTCCCTCTGTGCTCACCCAAAACCCAGTGCAGCACATTTCTACCAGCCTCACACTGGTGGATCGTCATACCTCCTCACACAGCCCAGCGCCAGCACACCACACATTGACCCTACCCCTCCGCAGCAGGCGGCCATCTATGGGCCGAGGGTAACAGGGATTCTGTCAAGTCAGAGTGTATCCGAGGAGTCCGGTGTCTCCACCTCATGTAGCTCAAATGTGGGCAGCCCTGTGTTTTTTGATGGCACACTAAGTGAGCATGGTGGGCCTTCTCCGAGGGGGATGGTGGAGGAGCAGCAGGGCTACGACTCCCATCTCACTCCTCTGGAGGTCAATGAGAGTCCTTATGTAAACAGGCAAGACTCACTTGAGGGTTTGAGGAGCCTCCCGCACAAGCTCCGTTTCAAAGGTCCCGGTGGTTGCAGTGACGGAGCGGAGATGTCTCCACCCTCTGATACCAGACACGGTGGACAGCCTGTAGCCACAGTGGGGCCAAACATCCAGGGGAGGAACCACCAGCATGCGGGGTGGGACAGTCGGACAGAGAGTCAGGCTCCTTGGTCCAGGGAGGAGGTCTGTGGTGGACATGTGCAGCAGTATCAGGGTCCGTCCTCTGGATATTATAACTCCTCCTCTCTGCAGAACTCCAGGGACACCAAGTATTTGACAGAGGACAGCAGTCTCAGGTCTCAGATCAGCTGTTTGTCTCAGGAAGTGGCTCAGCTGAAGAGGCTCTTCTCTCAGCAGCTGCTCCCTAAGATCGCTTAAAACCTGAGCCCAAGAAGATCAGTTCTGCACTAAAATTAATAGACAGAATTCACACTACATCTTTCCAAACCATCAATCACACAGCGTGGCCCCAGTGTAAACAGCTACCACGGAAGTGACAAACCAATTTATTTATGACATCTGTTTCACACTAAAAGTGATTTCTGTGAGTCATCACGTGTCCTTTCATTTTGTTGATTACCTGAGATTTGAAGGACATTTCTGAATACTTTACTGAACAGGTCTGTCAGAAACACTGGATGAACATAAAACACAAAGCACTTATCATTTGTAACACTTTAATCTCACATTGTTCACTTGATTCATATTTGTAAATGCCATTTTTGTCTTCTTTGGGACAGCATACAGTTTATAGGCCTTTCAACATAAACACTTTATCAATATTACCTTGTGTTAAATATACTGTGTTAAAACACAGCACAAATGTGTTTTAAGCCTTTTTGGCAGTCCACTTGTCTTTGTAATCTTAATGCGGTGTTTACTGTATTTATATCTGGTTTATCTTATGAAAGCAAGGTCCATACAAGTGTGTATTTCATCTTTGTTCAGAATTATAATTGAAGTGAATTGTACTTGGAAATAAAATAACTCTTTTTAATAAAAGACTGGTGAATCTTTTATGACAGATTAAGGTTTTCTCCCTGTATTTTACATGACAAATTATCTGCATTTCATCTAATAATGATAATCAGATTAAATGAGTGTGACAATTGTGGTAATAAAATCCCTGTTCATAACTTGGAGACATTACACACGTATTTTAAGAGATTCAGCCATCAACATGCAATATGCAAGAGACTTCACTGAACTAAGGTTGCTGAAATGAGGTGGGACAGAGGGGTGTCGGACAGTGCCAGGGAGAGAGGTTCGGTGTAGGGATGCAGGGAGAGGAGTGAGACTCTGCATGAGTCATCTATCACGTCAGCAGCGTGAAAGCTATTTTTAGCATTAAAGCAGCTGCGGTGGAGACTGATTGGCCCATCTGGAAGTGAAGGATACAGGTTCAGAATTATTAACACCTGGAAAGAGAACAAGTCTGCAGATGGACATCAGTAGAGATGTTGTGAAATACATTCTGATGGCGGTGGGGAACCAGAAAGCTGCCATAATATGCTGAAATATAATTCACATGACTGTCATCATTCTGTAATAAAAAATTCTTGAATATTTCCATTTTCAGCAGTCTTTTTTTTTTATTAACACCAGGTGGCGCCAAGAGTCTTTCTCAGAATGAACCACTAACTCTCATTCATTCATTCATCCATTCCCAGCCATGTTACTACAGAGGTCATCTCCTCCATTGTGCTTACTGTAGTACCATATGCTACACATGCAGAAAAAGCAATGCTGTAATTTTGTGTTGGAAGTCCAGCAATCCCGACTTGAAATGACCCATCTTTATTAAAAGTCACAATGCAAGAATGAGGCTGGAGCTTGAAAATGACATTCACATGACATATACAAATGAATTTCCATACTAACCTGTGAGGCTAAAACAGGCATATCAGACCTGTGTAGCTGCAGCGAGCCCTGCGTAAGGCTTTGGCCCTGACTACTACATCACAAGACACACGTGAGATCTTTTGTCTGCAACCAGTCTTCATCTAGCACAGTCTGCACCCCCCACCCTCAATGCCATAAGCCATATAGGAAGGAGTGAGAGCCTTCTGGTTGCTAGGCAGGCACCACCACACCACAGTTACCAAGGGAATGCCTGCATGCAGAGGTAGTGGGTAAGATGGAGGAGTGTGTTGGGGGTTGTTGGTTATAACAAACTGGTGGGGGGAGGAGCTAGACAAGTTCAAGGCCACCGTTTCCCCAACATGGTCTAATGGTGGTGATAATGATGTGTGTGTGCGTGTGTGTGTATGTAGTGAATGGGTGCACGTGTGTGGGTTGAGACAAAGCAGGGGGAAGGGATGTGAGTGAGAAAGTGGGTTGGAAATGGATGCGTGTCTGATACAAAACAGGGCTGACGTAACTGCTCAGTAAATATGGTGGTGATGAGGACAGCGGGCTTTGTGGGATAATGGAAAATCTCCTAAGCAGATAAAACACATCCATTTGCTGTGATGCAAAAATGCAAAAAAAAAATGCAAAAAAAAATGCAAAATACAACGATACATTTTTTTCAAATTGCTTTTTTCTTTAAAAACAATCTCTTCTAAACATCTTGGTAACACTAGTAAGATGAGAGAGAATCCAGTATCCATCATTTGTACTGTTAATTATGCTAAAATCATAATATAGATAGCAAGGCAAATGAAAAATATAATAAGAAAAAATAAACTGGTATGGTTTATTCAAACATGGGTGGTCCTGTAGTTCCACACTGGCAGCATCAAAATAGAAGCATCACAAAATGTAATACAGGACAGGAGTATGAACGTTCAGATAAAAATCATTTTATGCTGTAGTTGCAACGTAGTAGGCCTATGCTGAATTACAGTATTTTGAAACGCCATCAGTGTTCAAGTCTGGCAAGCAGTGATGGAAAAAACATAGATAACACAAGATATTTTACAGAATTAGCCTAATTCAACCTTTGCTTCATCAGCTACAAAGTTGACTAATGAGAGCTAACAGTGGCTGTATGCACGGCTGAAGGACATGCTGTTACATGCTATTACTGGACCGCTCGGTAACATGGTGTCTCTGTGCCCTTGTTATATAAACTTAACCACTCCCGCGAAGGAGATGGCGTTGCATCGTGGACGAGAGATGGAGATAGACACGGAGGGGTGGCGAGGAGAGAAAAAAAGTATAGGAGCTTAGCCTATAACAGAGAGAGAGAGACTCGCGCGGAGGGATAGAGGACAAAAACGTGACGAGGCAGCCTAAGAGCTGTTATGCAACCGCTGACCTACTAACACATATTTCTAGAAAGGGAGCCGGAGAAACTGGAGCAAAGTGTCCGGCATCGCGCAACACACAGGCAGCACGAGCCAAAAGACAGAAACAGCATCCACCCGACCCACTGACTCCATCACAACCCACCCGAGTAGCGACAGGAACAGCAGAGGGAAACTTTTCGAGTTTTTTTGGGGGGCGAGGTTTCTTCAAAAAGGACAAGGACAGGAGGAAACGGGAGCGAGACAGCTTTTGTGTCGGGAATCTTTTTTCCCCTCCTCCTCCAGGACATGGAAAGGTATGTTATGACTGAGCGGAAGGCTGCTTTTCGGCATTTGTCTTTGTCTTGGTTGTCTCTGTGTATGTTCTGTATTTGCCGTGCTTTAATAGCTGTGTGTGTTGAGATGAGGACGTGATGCTTGTGGCCGGTTATTGTTCACATGGCGACTCTCGGCTCTGCCGGTAGATCCGCGCGTCCGTGACTTTGAGACATTTGCGGCTGCTTTTGTCACATTACACACGGTAGGCTTCTCACTGGACTAATACTTTGTTGCCGTATGTTGCGTTTTTCTCCCCCCTCGCTTTGTTATTGACACGAAACATGTAGCAGGAGTGGAAAACGTGGTTGGCCATACCCCACGTTATGAGCTCAATGTCAAGGCGAGGTTATTTTCCTCACGGTGGTGTTTTCCAGGGAATGGGGGCAGCTGCGGCGCTCGGTCTGTGTTGTCTGGTTAATGCAGACACACAGTGCACTATAGTCGCTCCTGCACGTGGCGTCCTGCTGCTTGTCTGTGTTTGTCGTCTTTATCTAGGTCACTAGATCACTTTAGTTCTGTAGATATTAATTCGTCTTTTTGGCTATCCCGCTGATGCAAACATTAGGCTGGATTAGCGCGTGGCTTTTTTTTATTAGGATAAACGGTATTGCTAATTCCACATTTTCAATAAAAGGTAGTTGGAACTCGTGTCAGAGTGGAGGTTATAGGATACTTAAATAGAGATTATAGGATAAAAACATTACAATGGTTTCAGGGTAGACGGCTTGTGTTAATATTCTATAAAAACATGGGCGTATTACAGAGATACTACAGGGGGAAAACATGTAATGCATCAGTAATCTACGAATAAATTAATCCATATTAATGCAACTTCATTTTCTCCAGATGTGCAGAACATTTGCTTCTGTTTGAAGGTTACATTTATAGATTCAAAGGAGAAAGCAGTCACAAAATGTCTGATTTTCATTCAAAGTGAATGACTGGGTGATTCTCTTTCACTGGTAAGGTGTGTTAAGTAAAGCACAGAACATTGCTTTGAGGGAGTCGGAGGGTATGACATAACCAGCACACAGCAGGGAGAAGCAATAAACAGCAGCTCTCCTGGGACAGAGAGGCCTGTAATTGATTCCCGTTCTTCCCATCATCCATACCCAGATTAACACCAAACCCTTATTTTTGAAGCTGCATAGATGTTTAGCAAGTCTGCATGGGTTGAAATTGTATTTTAGAAATGCTTTCATCAATGACGTAACACAGCTGCTGGATGTCTGTGAGCTATTTTTATCTTGCTCAGTCTTTCTCCTCCAAAAGAGGACATGGAACAGACAAATAAAAGCAGAAGCGAGGTAGGACCAGATACAACAATTTGTTTGGTACAAAACTTGACTCCCAGGATCCCGGTGAGGTCTTGATGGGACTTTGTTGTGAAATTAGAATAGGATGTGATGCAATGCGTGGAAACCCCTGTCTTGCAAAATAAGGCAGAGTTCTAGTGAGCTCTTAGTCCACCTGCTGCCAGCTGGTCTAGTTTCAGAGCCGTCTGCATTGCTCCGTCCCAGCCGGCTCACTGAATATAGGTCAGACCTGTATCTGGGTGAGGAGACACATGAGGTATACAGGGCAAGCTGTTGACCAACTCTGTCTGTTGCTCTAAGGAATTTGAGACCACAAATTCAAGCAGACTTTAGTAACTACAACAACTTGTCCCAGTTAACCTACATTTAGTGTCTATTTATTAATATGTTTGGTAAATTAGTTTGTTTTTTTTGACGATTTTGCCTAGTGAACCTGCTGAAAGTAGCTAAAACCTTTGACTTGTAAGTAAAGATGGGAACAATGCATTTGCTGGAAATCAGATTGAACTTAAACAGATGCCGCCAATTAGCTAAGTAAGGTTCAAAACACTAAACAGAATATTATGAAAATGTAAAAATCATATACATATTTATATACACTTGCACTCAGCTACAGGCCAAACTAACTGACCTGGAATGTCTGAATTCCTGTCTCCTAGATTTGTTTCTTGACACAAAGCCGTGGGTTAAAATGGTGGCTGCTTGCTGGGGCCCCTTCCACGTGTGTGGTGTTGGATCACTTAAAAGATGGAGGAGGGGAAGAGGATGCCATGCGTTGTACTCACACTTGCCTCAGAGGAGGTCAGGGGTGAAGCATTCCTCCCTGAGCGGCAAGTGCCTGGGAACAACTTCAGACAGAGTTGTGTTTTCCACAGCCAAAAACAAACTGCTTACATCAGCTGCAGTGAATCATTCTTTTGGGAAATTAGCCCCTGCACAAAGAGCCAATTGCGCAATTTATCATGTCCAGTATCTCTTTATTTTCTTGTCTTAGTCTTAGGCTTTTTATCCAGAGCACAATATGCGCAGAGAGGATAGTGAAAGGGGACATTGCAGGGCATTCACACCCAGTAACCTGTAGCTTCTGCTGCTATGTAATATGCCAGTGTTACACAAGCTTTGCTCCGCAACAAGAGAAA